AGCTCTTCGCACAACAGAAGATCATGGCAGATTTTGTGAAAAACCTGAACGAGAAATTTCTTTCAATGATGCAAGGTAAATCAGGCTCAACTAGATTTTACAGATATTACGATAGTAGTGCGATGATATTAAGTATGAAGCCAACATATATTTTTAAATGCTTCAAGTGCAGGTGTTAATATGTCAATACCGGTGTCCAGTGGCGTAGCCAGGAAATTTTTCAGGGTGTGCTTTTCTTTGCTCAGACCGTTCAAAATAAAAATAAAAACAAGAGTCAGGAAAATAAATTGCGCAAACACACTTTTAGTTACTATATTCCTGTCTCTTAGAACACAAAAACTCAACCGTTTTTGCTACATCGCGTTCGTTCAATCTTTAAATAGGAAAAATTCAATGGTGAACAACAGAACTTGCAATCATAATATATAATAGGCTTTGAACAAAGAAGTCCGGACAGGTCCACTAAATATTCCAGTGCGTACATTTCTCGGCTTAACACTCGGGTACCCAATAACTAGAAGACTACGGAAGAGTGCCAGAAAATGCTGGATCTTAGAATGCGATTAAACAAAAAAACTGCAATGCGCACTGAGGCAATGGCAAATGAAGCGTCAAGCTCATTGTTCCTGCGCGGATCATAATTTTCATCGATGATCGTGCTTTGATCAAACTTTGGGTTCCTTTCGTTGTTTCATGTCGTTTTACAGGAAAGGCGCAGACAAACGTACCAGTTTTTATCACTTTGTGGGGTCTAAACTTTTTGACGTAGACACCGTCGGTCGACAAAAAGAAGCGCGATGACACTTTCGGGGCTGACTTGGATGTTCCGGTGAATGTTCAGAAGTGCAACCTACAGTAAGCGCTCCTGGGACGTGAAAGCTCCCAGGTATCACTTGGGACTTCGAAGTCTCCAGAACGAACGTTCCGTTACAGCGGTGCTAGTGGGAGTGGTGGCCAGGATTTGCAGCGGGCGGTTTACAGATAAAAGACCAACAAAGTGTCCACGCTTGCCGGTACAACCTTTGTCGTCAAGACGTGAAGTAACAGCCCGAGACAGGGTGTGAATGTGGACGCACATTCGCCACCGCGGCCTCAGGGAGTTGTTAAAACGCTATCTTGGACCCTACAAGGTCATCCGCCGCTATGGGACTGGAACTACGAACTGCTCCCTGACAGAATCCGACCATCAATACGCCGCCAGCCACGACCCGAAGTGGTTCACGTTGCTCGACTCAAGCCATTCTACGCCCGTTATGACTGTGACGCTGCGTGCTTATTTCGTCAAAGCGTATTTTTTTTATTAGCCTTTTTTTTTTTTTGCGCGGCATTGGGGTGATTCCAGACTTGGGAAGCAATTCGTTATAAGGGATTACTGTAATCCGTGACTTTTTAAAGTAATTTTGTAATTGCCACGTTGCTTTCTTTCGGAAGTAATTTGTAATGTAATTTCGGAAAAAAATATTGGTAACAGATTACTCTCATTACTCGTTACTTTTTCAGACTATGAGCATAATACAGTAAGTGAAGTAATACGAGCAAAACACTCAGCAGCAGCATAACGAGAGCAAGTTCAACAAAATAGAAAACATCAGGAAGGGAAAAATAGCTCAAAAGAAAATACTATTTTTTGCATGACCGGTCCCTAGAACCACTAGAAAAATGGGTAAGGCATGTACAAATACACGAAAGACAAAGGTCAAGTAAGACAACGCCGAGTAGGCTCTCCGTCGCCTTCCATCGTGTTGTTCTTCTACTCCCGGGCATGAGAAAGCTCTTCGCGTTTCTTTGTTTTAGTCTTTTACACCTCTTCTCTCTTTAATGTGCGCTACTGCATTCTAGCACGCTCTTGAGGCACGGCTAAAAAGCGCGCGGCGCGAGGCTAAGAGCATCGTCTTCGAGGGTGTGGACGATATTTCTTTTAGTTCACTTGTCTGGCCATGGTGGTCGAGTCCACTCCTCAATTTACAGTGAACTGTCAACATAAAGGGGGGGGGGGGGGGGTGTAAGCAAGTTAAGGAGTGCTGACAGAGAGAGATTGAGAAAGCGTAAAAGTGGTGCGGTCCTCAATTGTTTTGTGATTCCGATGGCCACCGCTTCTCTCGCTCTCCATGCCCTCCTCTCCCCTGGCCTCCACAAATACTGATTGGTATGAAGGTGAGAACCGATGAAAGATCGATAACCCGTAACCGCCCCTTTTTCTCTGACTGGTCGACTTTTCGGTCAGGAAATGTCCGTCGTCTCCATGGCCATCTCTTAATAAGATATTCTAAATTTAGGGCATTAAGCAGAATGAAAACCTAGAGTTTCAGTGCGTACTTTGATTGCCAAAAAAAAAAAAAGGCACGCTGTTATCAGCAAGGACAACAAACTCTAATCTACGGAAACACATCAAAGTAAGCTGGGACACCTGTATTCTGCATTGGCTATCATTGTAACTAGGATTCCGTGTTTTCGGAGTTTATTTCTGTTCAAATTCGGAAAATGTTTTTCGAAGATTTTTTTTTTTTTCAAAAATTCGGCGTTTACAGAAGTTCATTTTTGTTTGATTCCAAAATCTCCAAAATTTAGAGCTTATTTTTGCAGTGTTTTCTATGAAAATAAATAAATAATATCCGGGTGTAAACGTGTGCTAGATAAAAAAATAAATAAAACGCGCTTATATTCATTCATATTTCTTCAGCTAGATTAGCCATTGCCATTTGCAATACAAATTTGTCACACGGCAAAAGTGGCACACATCTGTGACTTCGATAAGCGTCAATGCTTTAGAAATAAACTCCTGGAGGTAGTCGCTCGAAAACACGTTTTCATCTCATCTTATTCCATACTACCCCACGGGCGCGCGAGGTGGAGTGGAGTGGTGAAGGATGTAATAGGGAAGATTCAACTGCCCCTCTCCCAATTTTATGCAACCTCTATGGTTCATAGCTTTAACTTCTACAAAAACACAACCTCTCCTTCCTCTTAAAACACAAATAGTATGGCCCAAACTAAAAACCAATACACAGGCTTTTGTCGTGACCAGAAAATACATAGACATGTGGTCCTGAACCTTGACGAGATAAGCGGCACGACCCCTTCTGTCAATGAGCCGAGATTCGTAAGATAACTGTGGTGGCATTTTCCCGGGAAATTGTAAAATACCGTCTTTATTTGGTTTATTTGAGGGAGGGATGGTCTTTGGCACATCAAAATTCGGAGTTCATCAGATAATTCTGAATTGGCCAAAATTTTACTGGCAATTGTTTGTCACAGTTTTTGTCGGATTTATCCGAAAACACAGAACCCTAATTCTGACCTTAAAACCAAGTTTTTCTTCTTTTTTTTTGAATAATGGGCGAAACACCCGAGTCAAAAGGGAGCTTTTGTACATCGCTTTTATAGCTCCGAATCTAGTAGCGGAGATAGACGTTGCTACAGTGCATGCGCACCGCTAGCTTTGTCTGCACAATTCCAGGGATCATTTCCGGAAGCCCTAAACTAGGGGGATGGCGGGTCTGGTTGCAGCTTACGGTTCCTTGTCAGCTTACAGGTGAACGAAGTGCACGTACGCTTTTTCTCTTAAATACAATATTTCATTTTTACAAGGCCTACCAGATAACGGGCGTATGAGAAATGAAAAGTAGTGTTGCAGAACATTTTTAAAAAATATCAAAATTGTTTCTATTGCTTTCTTGATAAGTTTTCGGAAAAAGTAATGTGAAAGTAATTGGTAACGTAACGAGCAAAGTAATCCATTACTTTTCAGTGAAAGTAATTTGTAGCGGTAATCCATTGCATTTGAGGCTCTTTAATCTGTAATTGTAATCCATTACATTTTTCAAGTAACGGAAACAAGTCTGGACGATGCACTTTTAAATGGGGAGGGGGGTTGGTAATGCTGCGCGAAGGGCCGAGCAAGCCACCCTCGGTCACAGACTTCGAGAAGACTCATGTTTTTTCTTACTCGAGATCAGGGTGTAAGATAGACAGGTGGGGAAAAGGCCCATAGAAGTGTACCGCAGCGCCGTACGTGACCGGATTGTGTACTCGTCTGCTTGCGGGTACCCCCGATCTGCGACAGATGGCGCTGCGGCGAGAGGGAAAAATTGGAATCGGATTTGCATGGAACTCTATGGGAGAGTGCGCAAAATAAACCGAGAGCACGACAGTCCTCTGTTGAAAATCCACGAGAAACCATCTCCGTCAGTTTAGCCGGTCGCCACCGGTCGGCCAACCGGAGTGAGAGTTCGCGGTGCTCCAGATAGATGGCGCCACAGAAAAAGAGAAAACCGAGGGGAACACAATCCGGTCGCTAATTTGCTCTCGTTTCCCCACCTGTCTATCTTACACCCTGCTCGGAACGTAACTTTGATCATTTCGTCCTACTTTCTTGTTCACAAAAGTGCCTGTTTATTCTCACCACGAACGCTCACGTTCTAACCTTCTGGACCGAATTTTCAAAATACCGACGCACACTATAGATAAGGAGCTCCTCGGGACCTTTTTGAGTGAGTCTCGCTCTCACTTGATGTTACGCCGCCAAATCGCCGCCCGCTATTCTGGTGCCTCGACGCTCGTTGTTTATTTTGTTTGGCGCATGTTCGCCTCCTGCCCCTTTAACCTTTCAGTCTGAAACGGGATTTTCCCACCTTCTTTTACTGTCCTTCGTGAATATATCGACCGGGACCAAACGAACTCTGACCGGAAACCATAGGCGCAAAACGTGCATTAAACTGTAATTTAAATTAACAGTGCCCTCGCGTGTTACCGCCACTGAAAACTACCTTAAGTCATAGCAGTGATAAATGACTAGAATCAATAAGAAAGTCCATGAAACCAATAATATTTTTTATTTCCTTAAAGAATATGCGCCTGTGTATAATCATACTTGAATGCAGCACAAGATATTATAATTGACCCCCCCCCCCCTCAAGAACATCCTTTCTACTTTGACTTCAGATGTGCACCCACATGTGGTTCCTGTTATTGTACGTTGGGGTCTTTCGTTGAGCCGAAATTTCTTTGGACCCCCTAGTCTTGGCATTGTGTTCCGCTGCTGACTCCTCTTTGTAATAAAAATATTTTGCTCAAGAGCCAATATCAGAGAACATGTAGGGTACTTTAAATATATAGTAGGTGCTTCCGTTCTGTCAGTTGTCGCTTTCTCCTAAGTGTTTATATCTGCTTTTGCTGCTGACTATTCTGGAAATGCTAAATTTGTTCTTTGTTCAGGCGAGCAATCCTGTATCGCCGTCATTTTTAAACGAGGTTGATACATTTGTTTTGCCATCTGTTGCTGTTCCTTGGGGGGCTGATGTTGTGCACTGCTCAAAACTGGTCTGCTGATACTGAATTAAGTAGCTGTTTTTTTAGAACTGTCTCCAAGAGTAGATGACTCTTCGTATGATATCGGTGTTGCCGTGCTTGTAGTTGTCTCCCCGTTTTGAGCACTCATTTGGGCACAGCTGTCGGAAGGACTTCTGATGCTGAGTTTGGTGTGTTTTCAGAACTATCTCCAAGCGTTTGAGGCTCTTCGGTTGCGGCTGGTGGTACCGCTGTAGTAGGTGTCACTGCGTTTTCAATGCTGGCATCAGTCACAGTTGTCGATTTGTCTCCTACTTGTGAAATTGTTGTTTCTTTTTTAGAACTATCCGCAGTCGTAAACGACTCCTCGGATGGGGTGGATACTTCCGTCGTTCCAGCTGTCGTTGTGTCCTGATTGCTGACATCGGACACTCCAGTCGAATTGTCTGCTGATGCTGATCTCGTTGTTTCTTCAGAACTATTCCCTCCCGCTGAATGTTCTTCAAAAATGGTTGGTGCTCCCGTTGTTGTAGTAGTTGTCTCTACGTTCTGAGTACTGACTTCGGTCACAGCGGTCAATGTGTCCTCTGTTGGTGGAATTGTTGTTTGTTCTGGAGCGCTATCCACAGTCGTAGACGATTTCTCGGATGTGGTAGATGCTTCATTTGTGTCAGCTGTTATTTCCCCCTGAGTACCTACATCGGACACTGCAGTCGACTGGTCTGCTAATACTGAGTCAAGCGTTGTAGGCTCTTCGGATCTGGCTGGTGCTCCGGTTGTAGTGGGCGTTACTGTATTTTCACTAATGCTTTCGGTCACAAATGTCGTTTTGTCTTCTTGTGAAATTATTGTTTGTTCCTGAGAACTATCCACAGCCGTAGACAATTCCTCGGATGCGGTGGATGCTTCTGTTGTCCCAGCCGTCGTTGCATCCTGAGCGCTGATATCGGGCACTGTAGTCAACCACTCTGCTGACGCTGAGCTTTCTGTTTTTTCTGAAAACCTTTTTTCAGGCGGCGTAGGTTCCTCGGGTTTGGTTTGTGCTGCCGCTGTAGTAGTCGTCACTGCGTTTTCGGTACTAGAATCTGTCACAGCTATCGATGTGTCTGCTGCTGGTGGAATTGTTTTTGGTTCTGAAGAACTATCCACAGTAGTATAAAGTTCTTCAGATGTCGTGGATGCTTCCGTTGTATCTGCTGTTGTATCTTGAGTGCTGGCATCGGGCACTGCAGTCGACTGGTCTCCTAATGCGGAGTTTGTTGTTTGTTCAGAATAGCTATCTTCAAGCGTTGTAGGTTCTTTGGATGCGGTAGGTGCTCCCGTAGGAGTAGGGGTCCCTGCGTTTTCAGTACTGGTTTCGCTTGCAACTGTAGATGCATCTGCTCTTGGTGAGGCTGTTGTTTGTTCAGGAGAACTATCCGTATTTGTAGATGATTGTTTTGATATGGTGGATTCTTCTGTTGAACTAGCTGTCACTGAGTCTTGACTTGTGACCTCAGTCACTTCTGTGGATCTGCCTTCTGATGGCGAAGTCGAAGTTTGATCGGTAGTAGATGTATCAGAAAAAGTAGATGGTTCTTCAGTTGAGCTAGATTCGTCCGCTGTTGTTACTGTGTCTTGGGTGCTGACTTGCAATGACGTGGTTGACTGTGTCTCCGGCGGCGAGGCGGATGTTTGACTTTCGGTAGTACTGGCTTCTTTAGTTGATATCTTTCGGTCCTCAGGAGTTGATCTAACAGTTGAAGTCATTGTGGCAGTCGTACTTTCTGCCGGTGGAGTCTGTGTTGGTGATGTTATTGCAATTGGAGTGGTTGAGGTTTTTTGCTTTGGGGTAGTTGGTCGAGTCTTGATTGTGGTCGTCGTGATCGTCGTAGCGGTTGTTGAGGACTTAATAGGGAAAGGCCAGACTCCTCTTCTGCACCTTCCATTAAAACAATGACCCAGTCTTCGCATCCAAAGCCTCTGCAACAATGAACGACCAAAGTTATAAGGTTATATTGACTAGGATTGCAACTAACTCCCAATATTTTTTTTAGTTCAAAAAAGGCTTTTCTAGGTTCACAGCTTAACTATGTGTGCTTAAATTGTTTTATGATCTTCAATTCGACCAAGCTATTTTAAACCTGACTAGGTATTTAAGACAGCTATCTGAGAAACCCATGCCAATCAAAATCTGAATACCTTTCACGAATACTTCGTAAGTGCGTCATATTTATATAATAATAACTAAACTCTAAATCCTAACCTTGAAATTGTAAAGGAAATTTAAAGTTTTTTTTATTTTTTATTTATTTTTGCTTTTTTGTTTTGTATCACTGTACCCTAATTCGCCCGTCATAATTTCTTGCAGAACTGAAATTTTTAGCACCGTGGTGTTCGATATACTGGTATGCATGGCAATTTACGTCTTGACAACATCGCTAATATTTTGGCACATGTCGCAATAAACTTAATCTCTAAACGAGCTGTTCGTGCGTCGTTAGGAGGAGTATGGCTACTTTAACCTTAACAGGCACAAGTTGAATGTTTAGGAGACCTGATTATAAGTAAATGAGGATGTAGCTTGGCTAAGTTTTAAAGTATTTTGATATCCGAGTCGTCACAAGATGTGACTCAGCTAGAGATAGAAGAGACTGCCAGAGCAACCAGATTCTCTCGTTGGTTTATATCCCTAAGGATATTTCTATTAGAGCACGAAATATTTCTCAAGTTGCTAGATGTTTTTCATTTCAAGATTTCATTTCATTTCAGGTAAGCAAAAATACATTCTGATTTCTTAGCAGCAGTGGCCAAGCTAACTCGCGAAGCTGCTAAAGCACAAGCAACAATCTGTCGTGTTTCTGGTATGTTAACAGAATTTAATTCAGAGCATGGTTGTGACAGGTCGAGTTCTGCAGAGCTTTCGCAAACGACTGGCAATATTTAAAGAGTGCACTTAAACACATTTTTTTTGGGAAACAACAATATCATCCACTGCAACGTCGGGCTATGTTTTAAATTGATACTTTGCAAAACATTATGAAAGATATACTAAATATTTATTTTGGAAATATTAAACTTAGATTGGATATCTTAATTAAAGGTATCCTGGCCGCCTTCAAGCAACACCTCCTAGACTATTTCAAGGCCCCCGCAACGTTCCCTTTCCACAACACGACGTCATCACTGTGAGATCGGTCCAAATCCGAGAACAACGGGCTTGGCTTGGAACGACTTACGGCTTTTGTATAATGTGTGGCCCGGCGCAAATAGTTAGAAAACGTTTCAAAAAGCTATTCTTATAAAACGTGAATAATTGAACTAGTAACAACAAAAAATTCTTTTCGACGCTTTTAAGTACGAAATATTTTACATGCCTACATTTTTGCTACGTAAGAAACTTAATTCCGTTGACGTGTGGAGCGCAGTATCGTGGAAGGCACGAATTTTGGTGGCGCGTACTGCCACATCTGGCAACCATAAACAGTAATAACGGCGCATTTGTTTCTGGCCGCTGGCGTTGATGTGCTGCTTTCTGTTTTGTTCTTGTTTGTTCTCGGGTTACGCGACATGCCTGGCTGCTGTTGTGCGCCGAACTGTAACTCAAACTATGTGAGTGGGCCGAAAGTGCGGGTTTACCGCTTTCCTTCTGATGCGGAACGAAGAACGGCTTGGAAAAAAGCAATACCTCGCGAAGACTTCGCGCCAACGAAGTACAGCGTGGTGAGTAATTCCTCTTCCGCTGTTTAATTTTCGTGGTTGTTGCGTGTTCCCTTGCTGTTCGGGGTATTGCAATGATTCTTGACCTTACCAGCTAGGATGTCTTCGTTTTCTTCCTTGACGCGGGGAATAGTTTTCAAGCTCTCGCGTATAGTTCCGAACGGATTACGAGGACTTACAGAAAGTAGTTTTGTGTCTATACAAGTGCGCATTAGAATTATTGCGACGTGTAACTTACCGCTTCCCATTTTATTGTCTTGGTATTGTGCGCGAATCGCCTGTCCTATATTGAGATTTTTGCACTTCCTACAGGTCTGTGAAAAGCACTTTTCTCCGGGTGACTTCGCCACTACTACAACGTACACGGACGAAAAAACTGGACGAGTGCTTGAAGTTCCTCTTCAATTACGGCGGCTGAAGCCCTGCGCTACTCCTAGCATCTTCCCCAACTGCCCTGCATACCTGTCCCGCAACACACCTGCTGCCCGCGAAGGTCCTGAAGAAAAGCGCGCTCGGCTTGAAGCGGAGGCCCTGCAGCAAGCACTGGCGCGCTCCACCGAAGCTTATGAAGACGAACAGAGAAATAATTCCGTTAGCAGCTTTGACGAACTCGTGGCTGCTCTCAAGGAATTCCAGGTGGCCGATTTCTGGACAAAGCTGGTCACTGACAAGCAAGTGCTTTTTTTGAACTTTGCTCCTCGAGATGCACCAGTTGTGCGCTATTCAGTGACGGTCTCTGCAGATCTTTCATTGAAAGCGTTTTTTGGGGACCTGCAGCTCGACAAGGTTGGTCTTCTCATTTTTCCAATGTGTGTGTCCGACATCAGGGAGCTAGAGAAAGCTTTAGAGGTTGTGCATGGTTTTGCCAAGAACTCCTCTAACGATCAGCAGCGACTAGAAATTGTCTTAAAGAAGACAGTGGCAATCCTAGAGGAGCTGTCATCAGAAAATTTCCCTCATGAGTGGCAAATGGAAATTGTGAACTTCTTAATGCAGCAGGTACACATGCTTCTAAGCAAGTCTCCGAATTACCCTGCAGACCTGCTTGTGTTTTCAAGCCTCGTGTTTACAATATCCCCACACGCTTATAGGTTCATCCGGAGCACGTCAAAGCTCAAACTGCCCCATCCTGACACTATTAGGCGTGTTTGTGCGTCTTACGTTGTCAACCCTTGTACAGAGCAACAAAGTACCTTATTTCTCTCATATGCAAAAAGACTTGTAGCTGCAATGAACGAGCATGAGAAGACTGTAACGCTCGTCATGGACGAGATTCACCTTCAGCCATACCTCGACTATAAGGGTGGAACCGTAGTGGGAATGGCCGCAAACAGTACAATTGCTGCAAAGACAGCATATGTGTTCATGATCCAAAGCCTTTTGTCAGCGAGCAAAGATGTTGTGCATATTCTGCCAGTAGCACAGATAGATGCAAAACAGTTGCATGAATTTCTTCGTCAGCTGATAAATGAGCTCGAGAAAACTGGACTTCGAATTATTGCAGTAGTTTCAGACAATAACTCCATCAATGGCAAAGCTATGTCATTTTTTTCCCAACCTCCGAAGGTTAACACTGTGTACCAACATCCTTCGGACCAATCAAGGTCCCTGTTTTTTATTTTGGATACTGTTCACGTGCTCAAGTGTGTACGGAATAACTGGCTCAACCAGCGAAACAGCAGCAAGTGCATGTTTTTTCCCGATATTAATGCTGCTGGTGATCAACCACATGTGCTGACAGCTTCGTTTAATGCCTTGGTAGAGCTTCATGAGAGAGAGAGAAATGAGCTAGTGCAACTTGCGCCAACTTTATGCTTGAAAGCACTCAAACCTTCGAGTTTGGAGCGACAGAATGTCAAGCTTGTCCTGAAGATCTTTAACATTCTTACTGTTGCCGCACTTAGAAGCACCAAGGCTGCAACACTGCAGCATGCCAAAGGCACAGCTGAATTTATTAACATTATCGTTATGTGGTGGTGCATAGTAAATGTGAAAACGCCAAACAAGGGTCGGCGTCTTCGGGACAAGCTTCAGGAACCCATAACGGTAATGTCTTGCCCCCAAATTGATTTCCTGAACAAAGTAGTCAAGTGGCTAGACTACTGGAAAAGCCTGAAGCATGATGCAGGCCACCTCACGAATGAGACACACAATGCACTTCGTCACACATCGCTTGCTTTAGTTCAGGTGTCGCGTTACTGCATTGAAGAACTCGGCTTCAAGTATGTCCTTCTTGGTAAATTTCAGTCTGACTGCCTTGAAGATAGGTTTGGACGGTACCGACAATTGAGTGGCGCACAGTACCACATCTCGATCCGCCAGATATACGAGTCGGAACACAAACTCAGATTGCAGAAGGTTCTTGAGCTTCCCGAGTTCGACGACATCTCGCTATGTGCCCGCACTGATGCGGTGAATGCTGCCGTGAACCAGTTTGATGTTGAAGTGACAGCAGTTGACGTAGAAAAAAAAGAACACATGCTCCCAGCTATTACATACGTGGCTGGGTACTGTGCGCATGCTGCGCTGAAAAAGCTGATGTGCCCATTCTGTAAAGAGAACCTTGTGGTTGACAACCGCTCTCTTGAAATTGAGGCAGAAGAGCTCATTGCTGGTGTAACAAGAGGTGAACTAAAGTTCCCGCAGGCCGTGGTGGTAAATGCCGTGCTGGCAATGAATATTGTGCTGGAAAAACTGAGCAGCGAAAGGTACGCGTTAAAATTTTATTCTTGTGAAAAGCAAAAAGATTTGCTTGTGTCCCTGACAACACCCCTTGTTGAGTATAACGAAGATCTGGACGTCTGTGAAAACGGCCATTTACCTCACGTGGTGATGGGTTATGTACTAAGTGCGGCTGCCAACACTTTGTTGAATAACTTGTGCAAACGAGAAAACAACATGCTTGCTGAAGCCAAAGCTGCAAAACGGAAACTGAAAACGCTTCAGGCATAAGCGCATAACGTCTGCTATCATTTCGACTGCTGCCTGGAAATTATTGTCACATAAGTGTTTTTTTCGTGTGTGTGTGCTCCGACTTATTTCTGTTTCTTGTTCTTCAATTTGTGCAAACAATGTTTTTGGGGACATTGCTGTATGTTGTTTAGAACTTCGAGGATTTCCTTATTGCTTTGTTCTGTTGGAAATGTTGATGTAATAATATTTTTGTTTGAAACTTCGGTTATGAATGTGCTATCAGTTCATTTGTGGAAGCTATTCCCGAGAAATTGTATTTTTTCCACAAACCCAAGTTCTTCCTGCTTATTCCTGCAAAATAAAGAGTGAAATTCTGTACCCCCGAAAAACAGTTGTGATGTTTTAATAATGGCTGTGAAAATCGGGGCGCCAGGACTCTTGCTTTTAATTGTGTTATTTAATATGTTCGCAAATCGTGCGCGAGTCCTGGACTCCTTAAATGTTCGTAGATATAGGCGATATGGAAGTGAGAATTCGAAGAATAAATACAAAACACGACTTGAAACGTCCATCGAGCGCCACTCTGTTTCGTGTGCGTTTCTTCTACGTCCTTGTTTTGCGCTTTTAACCTTTTAAATAATCATGAACCAACTAGCTCGAACCAAAGTATTAATTCCTACGAGCTTTTCTGAAGTAAAACGTATTGTCAGTGTTCCATTCTCGAAAATTCAGCGCCGAGAACGAAGAGACTCGCATTACGAAGCCCGACCGAGTGGGTGAAGCCAGCTTCCAGGCCGATCTCACTTCGATGACGTCACGGGAGCCTGGGGAGGCCTTGAAATAGTCTAGGAGGTGTTGCTTCAAGTGGGTCATAGCTGTTGTTAGAACGTTGGCTAATATAATCTGCTCCGCGGTTGTTGTTTTTTTTTTTTTGTTTTAAACAGAAGCCTCGAGAAGACACGATACCAAGCCTAGACGCGAAAGCATGGAGGAAGATCCAAATGAAAGTGACGCCAGCCTCCGCAGCAGATACAGGGACCCAGAGTTATAGAGGGATTTAGCTCTAAAGCACTCTTTACCGAAAAGTAACGACCTCCTTTGAAGGATGCATACTTTTATATTGGAACGATCCAGGCGAGCGCCAGAAAGCAAGGAAAACAAAAAGCGGATGATTATCTCATTATTCGCGTTTTCAAGCAGCCAGCCTCGTGCGTGCTGCGCGAGAGTTCACTTAGAGCAACCCCGCGCTTCCCACATGATTTTAGGATCTCTGAAGGTTACTATTTTTGTGGTTTTGAAATGATGCTCAGCGAGCTTATTATTATAAATAGATATTTATTTTGAATAATTAAAAAGCTAATTAAAATATTAGGTTTTATTACACTGCATTAGTGGACCTTTCAATGAATTTAGCGAGTTTGTTTGAATTAAAATTAGCATTTTGTATGCTTTATGGCATAGACAGCCATCACATGAGAACGTTCTACTGTCTGTAACAATCGCAGTTTTTGAAGTCATCTAGAATACATATACACGGTTGATGTGATTTTAGGCAAGGGGGAGAATACGAATTCAGTTGAATTAACTCGTGATATAAATTAGGACTTAGATCGTGATTTAAATAAGGATATCAATCGTGATTGAGATCAGACCGGTTTTTTAATGATGATTTACATCAAACCATTTCCGAAAAAAATTATCCCCCGATTATGTTTTATCGTTTGCTCATGATTTCACGTTTTCTATGTAAATTTAGTTTCTATTTAAATCAAGAAATTATCACTCAAGAAATATTTATATTAGGTTGAACAGGAGCACAAAGCAGTGACCTTCCGAGAAAATTGGAATGTTGAGTTTTCTTGCTACCATTCACTTCGTTCGTATGTTACGTAACGTCGTATTTAAAGTAAATAAAAGCGCGGAAGACAGACACAAACACTATAAAAGCAATGTTTCTATTGCACAAAATCTATAACGCAAAAAATGCAGCTTTTTCACTCACCTAGATATAAATTTTCTTCCTACAATGGCCAGGTTTACCCAACCAACGTTGTGAATTAAACTGTACTTTATATTTACAGTAATACTTTCTTCCGCATATATTTCCGTAATCTCTCCGATTGATCAATCAATATTTTATGTTTAAAATACATCCAGGGTTCTAAAAACACCGTTTCACGGATATGATAATTTAGATATAATTATTATTATTTAAATATTAAAAAATTGACTTACTTGATTTTAAAAAAATATTTCACCCTGGTTTTATTTTGGCTACCATTTTACGCTGTTCATTTCCCCTCTTGATATTTTTAAATGTCGACCGACTCACCTGAATTACCTCTATACACAGATCAACCCGATAGCTTATTACCTGGTCTCTTTGAAAGTAAAACGAAAATGTTTCTGTTTTACAGCAAAATGCACTTTTCATCGGACAAATTGTCCGGTTTGAAAGACGAGCTCTTTTACTTTTATGTCCTCTTCCCCAACCAGATTTCATTGTGATTATTACTAACCGGAGAGAGCATCGTCTTTATTACAATAAGTAATGTCGCAATAAAAACAAGTTGCATACACTCAAGGCGCATTAAAAGGGAATGCAGTACAACCATTCGTACCGCGCAGGGAGTCCCATCGACCTCGTTTGCAACCTTCAGGGGCCATCCCTTGCAGATGTATCTGCAACTCAGCACATAGCCTCTCTGCATAGCAAAAAAAAAATATAACATTACGCATGGCACACTTTTTTAAACTCATAAAATTCTACGTCTAGCCTACAAAGGCAGGCTCGGATTAGGAGCTAGGGAATTTTAGTGATTGGTTTCATTTGATCTTCTATTACCATGTATTTTAGTTGTTTCGCAGGCACCACAAGAAAATTCTTCACAAGCTCAATGATATTTTTGTTATAGATAAAATATTCGTACACCGTTTATTTTCAGTGAAACAGCGCTGTTAAAATAAAGACGAAATCGTTACTTAAGCTCTACCTGAGACGCGGTGACTTACAAAAAAACCTCAAGTTTTTGTATTTTAATCTTTTATCATTATTTGTCATTTCAATCTTGCTTGCTCCCATCAATAACCTATTATTGTGGGATCTTTGCTATTCCTAAAATGCCAAGAAATTGTTCAAGTTCTTACCTGAGGATTATGCTCAACCCTATCGCATTGCCTGTGATGTCCATCTAGTAATAAATAAAAACAAATATGAGGATTGTTTATACAAATTGTTGAGAAGCAAGATTTGAACACATTTTCATCCTCAAAACTTCCAGTGTGAAGAATATTTTCTACAGTGTACTGCAAGCTATTTTTCAGGTTACGTGCGTTTAGTATTTAGATTGTTATTCTAAGATCAAAACAAATTATTTCAAGCAAAATATAGTTTTGTAAGCAGCTTTTTGTTATAGTGCTAAATCCAAGGTAATGTTCGACGGGCACTGTATTCTTCCGCCTGCTAGAAATTACTAAAGTAAAACTAAATTCTTGAACCTATAGATATACAATTGCAAATTTGTGACTCAACGCATTCGCTGCACAATCTTACGCCACGAAGTTTTGCAGTCAAATAACCATTGCGAAAGTTTAGCTTTGCAATAGGTTAAGCCGTCATTGTGGTTTCAGATGCTTGTGCCAGCCTCTGACAATACATTTAATCTATAGAAATATCACCGAATTCTTCTATTCTCAGTTTAGTCTTCTCATCACGATTTTAGGATTTACGTAAAAAATTCCTAAAATAAATTAATTATTCTTAAATCTTCCCCAGTGGAACTTTGAAGTCTTCATATTACGATTTTCGGTTTTACTTACAACATTCCTGTATTACCTTAATTATTTTCCAATCTTCCGCTGTGAAGCATTGACGTATTGTTTATTAGCGTTGAAAACGAACTGTCCAAATACAATATCTTGGTATGTTAGTATCTTGGTATCTTGTACAATAAAAGTACAATATCTTCGTATGATAATTTATATAGGCCATATAATGAAACAAACTTACTCGTTTTCCGGGTTTTCCTTATAATATTTGCGATAATCATAAAAGTGCAGCTTTTCACAGTTCATTTATACCCGCCTTCGCGGAACCACCCTCTAGAGTCTGTGGTAACTTTATTTGATGGTGCCGCCTTTAAAACGGCCTCACTAATGTCCCTATTTCAGTATTTTATTAGCAGATAATTATTTGCATTCTTAAAAATTTTGCTCCTTTTGATATACCTGTAGCCCATTATCCCTCTGCAATGTCTTCGTGGCCCTGGAGATATTTTAAATAAGAAGTGAATAAAAATATCGCTACCGCAGAATATAAACACACCTTATTATTTTAAGTTGTTAATAAGATCTTGTCATTTTTTAGACATACCATCCACTTTTTGTGTTGGAGGTGGTCGTGTCTTCGGTCGTGGTGCAGGTGTGGTAGTCGAGGTTGTTGTTAAGGTGGAAGTCGTTATCTGACCCGGCCAGACACCTCTCTGGCACTCTCCTTTTAGACAGTACCCACGATAGCCACGTCTTGCCTGGAAAGAAAAACGCGGTAACACATTTATTTATCCCAACCATAAAGGCCCTACAGGGACATAAGGGGGGAGGCTGTGGGTTTCCCCTACGGGGGTACCACCCAGAAACACAGTAGGTTCCTTGGTTCCGCCTAATGACGTACTTATATATTGACGGTTACTCCAACACGCTTGCCCGAGGGCCGGCAAAGTCCGAGATAACGGCGCTGTCTCTATTGATAGGATCACCGGTCGAACTCCGCGCTGCCGCAAATAGACAGAATCATGGAAGGGGGAAAAACCTTAAATAGAGCTCCGTGGAGCAAGGCCCTCTCCCTACGAGAGCCCCACGCCGTTCCTTTGGGCCAGCTTATTTAGCTTGCGGGAATGGGTGCGCCCGGGTTTTCGGCAGCAGGTTCGCTCACAGGAGGGGTGGACGCGTCCAAATATCAGTCCCGAAGGGTGTGCCCGAGGTAAGTCACCCAAGAAGGGCGAGGGAGAGCCGTCACACAAGGGAACACGGCCTCGTCTCGCACCCGGGATGCGCCCCGATATGGCGACGTCCCACGGCCTGCCATAGCTATGCCTAGATAGGAATATAGGGATGCGGGGAACGCGTGATTCCCACAATGCAGAGAACATAAAAATTAGATAGAATCAAAGCACCCACTGTTTACTACTAGCAATATTTATGTACAAAAATTAAAAAAAACGCAGATGAAAGGCCTGATGTAAATACAAAAATAAAACACAGAGATAAAAAGGAAAACCATTTACAACTCAATGTAACGCCGAATTAGAGTGCAGCTCTTGAGGAGGAGGAGGGAAGGGTACTGAGGGGAGGTAATACCCCTCCTCCCTTCTCCTCACCTCCTCATCCTGTCTGCTACTCCTCCCTCCGAGCGGGGTCGCCATCGCCTCACGAGGGTCAAGTGACATCACAGGGGTGACGTGACGTCACCGGGTTCACGTGACCCCCGTGGCGTCACGTCACCCCTGTGAGGTCACGTGACCATGGCGATGACGTCATCACGGTGACGTCATCGTCATCACCAGCGATGTCACTGATGGCGGCATCGGCATCGTCACTGATGATGTCATCAGTGACGTCACCAGTGACGTCATCGGTAACGTCGTCGCTTGTGACTTCACACGTCCCAGAATGCACCGCGCGGTTAGGCCGACAGCGACGGCGACGGCGACGCCGCTCAAGCAGGAAACGGGCGCCTAAGACCTGCGCTCTGAAACGAAACATAATTCCAACCACAATGAACATGAATATGATACATAGAGGCCATAATATCCACAAAACTACTTCTTCGTGGAAACAGTGGGGCTAATGATTCACGAGGGAATATTGCCGCGCGCGCAGCTGGCCAAGCAGGCAGCGGGCGCGTGGCCTAACGGTTATCGCGCTTGCCTCCCACGCAGAAGGCGAGGGTTCGATTCCTGGCCGCGACTACACATTTTGGTTGACAGTGTAATTTGATGTTCTAGCGAATTCGAGAACCGTCTTGCTGATTCGAGGTTAGAATGTTCTACACACCGAACCTTCTACGCCGAACGATCCAGAAACCCACGAGGGTACATAAGGGATTCCGCAAGGCGAGCGGAGTCAGTTTCGCCCCAGCGTTTGACTCTGCTGCTACGCCGACTTCGACGCCCGCGACGCTCTGTTATTATCGTTTGTACCCTTTTATTTTTGGCACAAGTTCGCCACATTAAAAGTTTATTTCTTCCTGTTTATTGTTTTTTTAGTCACCACCCGTGACAATATTGTGTCAGCAACGTCCACAATAGAACTGTGGAGATCATTACAATCTGGGATGCCACGTTTATTGATGAATACATTCGCTGTACCGGTTAGACGCTTGAAACTTCCGCTACTGGTTGTTCAATGAGAATTTCATCTATCTAAAGGCTCGAGAAACGAGACATTGACACATGGATAGCAGAGTTTATAAATGAGACAAAGAGCAATTTTACAACAATTGTTGAGTAACGGAAGAGGACGTTGAAGCTTGCGCGTAGAGACACTCACATTATGCGAGTGACTTGATGTTACGACTGGTATGAATAGAAGCTAGTTCTTTCGCTAGCCTCGGCGCACCAAACATTGTGCACTTAAATCGTAGTCCTTGAAAGAGTCTCCGACTGGAGTGTTCAGCGTCCCCTTCTCCCCGTGCATCGAAAGTGGTCTCGAAGTGGCAACAAATTACGCCACAAAAGCCGGATTGTAAAGCCGTTGGCTGTCACAATCCTGCAGTTGATTGTAAAAGTTCCGGAAAAAAAATTAAAAAAAATGCACGAGAGAACGTGAGTTTAGCTATCGTCGTAGCGTCCAAATTCCTGGCTGCAAAAGCTTCCGTGATCTACCAAACTGAATAGCTACCTGCCGCACAACAGGCCTCTGCTGCATCTACCACGGCTGCTTTGGCAGCGCCAGGATCGCGGCAGGCGACATAGAACTTCTAGATGTTATCGGGCCGAAATCAAAGGACCACGTTTGAGGACCCGATAATCGCACCATTCAGAGACTTGTTTCAGTCACCGTACCGAAAGTACGAGAAGCACACGCAAAGAGCCTCGTCCACGCAGTCAAAGCAGTAACGTTTACCGCGTGTGCTTGTATCTCTTATTTAGTGATGCCGCCCAGCGTATTTATGCTCGATCCCAAAACTTATTCGGCCCATCCCACTATCGCGTTATTATAACCCGTATAGATTTGCCCAATAAACTATCGTTTGAGTTTCAAAGACACATCTCCGAAGAATCTATTCGGAATAAAATTGCCACATACCGAAATACGCCACCATTATCGCAAAAGATTTGACCGCAATAAAACTAGCAACGCCCAAGCTGGCAAAATTTCATCACGTCGTTTAGAAGCGTTTCAAAGTAAATAGGGTTAACGAGTTTACCACCTCCGTGGTACGTTCAATGTAGTCGATACTCGTGGAATTGTCGGAGCTGGTCCCTGAGGGAGGCACGCACACACGCGCGGCAAACAATCTCAAGTATTGAGTATTCCGCCACGACTAAGTGTTTCTTCTATGGCCACTGGGAGCCTAAGAAACCTGCTTCATGATTTTTTTTTTTTTTTTTTTGCGTTGTTCTGAAATTAGAATTTGCACGCCCCACTAGGAGAGAGGAAGCTGCCAACAACGCCGGAATTAATATGTCTCGTCACCAGACTTTAGCTCAGACCTGAGACAAGTTACAGAGCGTTTGTTACGATAATTGACCGTTGCGGCTCACGTGCGTAGCATGTACATTAATGTGCGGAACGTGGAAATTCCACCCACCCAACACAAGCTTCCGTCCTCTTCTTCCTCCGTTCGAATAGGCCATCCTCGACAGAGGTATCGGCAGCTAACCGTACGTCTGACGATCTGAAATGAAATTCAACTCGTACGAGTCACTGCCAGTTTTAGAACGCTTGGACCAGAAAAGTATTTTTCGATATTTTTGCTATTTGACTGATTTTTTTTCTTTTCCTTTTCTTTGTTTTTGCTTTGGTTTTGTACATTTAACAAAATTACAATGGGTTTAGATCGTCTGGAACATTATTTCGTATGTTTCAACCGGATTGCCTTATAACAAATAAATTAATTTGGCAAAAATTTCTCGAAGTGCAGGCGAGGTGGTTATGTGTAACATGATGGTAGACTGAAAAACTCCTTGGAAAAGTAAAGAAGAACGGTCATTGACAGGCAAAAGGAGGACAAAGTCTCATCTTAACGCAACGTATGTCCCTCCTTTCTTTTGTCTCTTTTAATGTTGATAGTTATTTATATATTCTCTTTTTTTTTCACACCAGTCTCAGGGCTGATTGTCAGGTTCGATGGAAGCTAATTTGGCGTTTTTTTTTGTGTAACTATCTTTATACCTCACATGACTGTTCATTTATGGCGAAAAATAATATGCCAAAACATACGCTCACTTTAGGGAACGCCCGAGTGCATTTTTCGGTGTACGAGGGACGCCTTCTTTCAGGACGTCGCCAGTCTCGCCAGTCTCGCCATCCTGCAAGTGGACGTAACTATATTACCTTGCGTGTTACATTAGTACATAATTCTATATCTGTTCATAAACAATATCACTTTATATCCCTAAACGTAAAATCGAGAAAGAATACGAGACAATAAAAACGTGGCCTTTTCAGTTATTGAAGAAAAGCACTAAGATTTATGTAAGAAAAGACCGCGCGTCGACTTTCCCGCACAACACTCGGAGAGCCAATCACCGCAACTTACGGATGCAGCTCAGCGAATGACGATGCCGAAACATACGTTTAGACCAAAAAACGCAGTCTGAGTTGTGACATTAAGCAATGCAAGTGTGGCGTTTTGCATTGCTCAATGCCATAACTCAGACTGCGTTTTTTTGTTCTAAACATATGTTTCGGCAACGTCATTCGCTGAGCTGCCCCCGTAAGTTACGGTGAGTGGCTCTCCGAGTGTTGTGCGGGAAAGTAGACGCACAGACTCTTTTTACAGTGAATTGTGAGGCCCACATACTTTCGGTGCATAAGTGCAGGTAAACTCCTTTCGCACTTCTGTCTTGCCTTCAACTCTGAACGTTAGAGTATGCCTCCATTGGTAATAGCTCGGTCCTACATTGGCCTCATGTGATGAACGTAACAAGCTTGAAAATGGAAATGCTGGATGTTTATACACGATTTCCCGTATTTTCTCGTTGCTACATCCTTATTCCTCCTACACAATAGCCCGACTACATTCGCAATAACGGTGCCAAATCAAAACACTTGCCATATTTCACGAGGGCAGGATTGTTTCTTTCCGTACTTTCATCGTCCTCCTCTGTTTGGGAAAATTAAACAAAATGATAATCAGCATATAGACTACGCGTATCGTAAATAAACGATACGCGCACGTATTACATTACCAGATACGCATAACTACACATATAAAAAAAAACGTTGGTAAAGAAAAATGTTTACTCCGAAACAAATTGACAAACGTTCTCAACCGAGAGAACCAAACTTGCCTTCTTGGAGAAGGCTGACATCGTTGCTTTCAGCGCTGGCACTTTCGTCTTCCGTACTTTTTCCTGGTATAAAACACAAAACGGTATTTTGATGTATGTGAAGCGATCAGTCTCTGACATATTGAGAAAGGCCGGGCGGGTTCTATTATGTTTATGCCTCCTGCTTTGTGATTGGTCCTTTGACGTTCTTATTGGCTAAAGCAGCAACCTCTGCAGAGCGGCAATGAGGTTCTCAGGGGTCGCAAAACCCTGCGTTTCTGAAGCTTTTTGGAGCTCTGAAAACTTATCATATAAAATGATTTGACACGTTATGTGTACAAATAAATATATTTAGCAAATATTAAACAAAAATGACAAAAATTAAAAAAAAAAGGTAAATTTATTTCTTCTTACCAATATCTGAAGAGTCTATGCTGTTATTTTCCGCGCTGCTGTCCCCTTCTCCTGCAAAGATGATGGAAAAGAAAAAATGACGAAGGCAGCAAAAGTTGTAAAACGTCGTATAAAAATCCTCAATAACTAAATTCTTACCGTTACCAAGTACCGCGAGCCATCTTGCGCTAATAGTGCTCGTTGCATCTTATGCACTTAAACAATTCCTAATAGAACGAGTAAATCATTGTGTATCCCCCCATCATCTGCTCTCGAGTATGTATGCCCCCGCCCCCCCCCCCCCCCTCCGCCCCCTCTGCAGGTTCACGTTCGTAGAGCGCCATTAAAGGGCAACTCCACTCACTTCCTAACCTGTCCGAACAATATGTGATGTCTGCTAAAGTGAGCAATACTCTGTTTCAGCTACGCAGCCGATGCTGCCAGCAGCGTCGAGATGAAGCGGCGTAAAAAGCGCAAGTCACTTGGCCGTTTCAGTTTGTGATTGATTCAGCCATGATACAACACGTAACAGAAGCACGATGAGCACCATGATGGTGCGCTTTTGACGCTAACCGATTGGTGCCACCACCTCGTGGCGTCGGTAGCGGTTTAGAGTGAACATGAGAGCATAATCGAGGAACCTCCATTTTGTGTTGATGAGATTAAAATGCGCGCGTGACAGTGACTATTCCAGCTTGTATAGGTCAACGTCTGTTCTCACTTTATAATATCCCTGACTGGCAGCCCGCCTCGGATGAACGCCCTATACTCCGTTTCACTCATAGTATGTCCGCACCCTAGTGAAAACGCCATTTGTATGAGAAATTTATATTGTCCAATAAACTCATATGAATGATGCAAGATATATAAGAACCATATAAGAAACCTCTCCCGAGTTGCTTATATGGTTTTTATATGTTCTTATATATATTATTTAGTTCTGATCTGGTTCTTATATGTTTTTATATATCTTGTATGATTCATAGGTGTTTGTTAGACAAAGAAATTTTTCATACAAATTAGATCTTTCAATACAGCAGTCGACGCAACGATCCTATGGACCCTGTGAAACGGCGTCCAAAGTGAATCGTCATGGCTTCGTTCTTTTTGTATGTTTGCTATTACCGGGTAAATGAATCACGCGCGCGCATTCACTGCTATGTCATTGGTTTACTCGGTGATATCAAACATTAAAAGGACGCGACAAGCTCCGAGACGCTGCTATGTTGGAGCTACTGGATTCGCTCAATGGGATCGTAGAGTAATTAAAATGACCAACAGAGGTTCAACCGGCGCTAGTGTGCTGTCGCAAATTGTAGCAGACAGCAACCAGTTGAAAATTGACTTCCGTACTGCATGTCTGTGGAAAAAAGTGAGTGCATTTTCTCCTTGCGCTTGATTACATGAGCAAATATGCCGAATAATTCATACGTACTAGGCAGCTTGGAACATTTCTAAGTCATGCAGGTGAAATAATTGGTCGGTTATGTCGTTTTTCTTTCAAATTCATCGCCTGAAATACGGTGCTAAAATGGCTTCGTATTCATGTGCACCGTGAGACACTGTTCACGCGAACACGACGCTGGCGCTTTTCAGCAAGGGGGATACACGTGCTAAACGAAAGAATGAGATCTGAATAACAAAGCGAGGCGGCAAGAACTACACAGTAATACTGGATCAGTATCGCACTATGCATGTGCGATCAAAATAAATTAGGTAATATAATCAGACATTGAATAAGAAAGTACTGTTTTATTCTTTCTGCTCTGTGCGAAGATGCTTGTTATGTGTTCAAAACATCATCCGCACACTCGAAATCTTTGACAACAAGTTTCCGATAAAAGTTGACCGGCAGAGAAAATATTCAAAAGAGACACCTTTCATAGCCCGCGTTCTTTATTCGTTACGTTTTGAATGTTTTTAATTGCTGTTAAAGAAGCACGACGGGGTCATTTTCATATAGTTACAGGACTCGCATATTAGGAATATATAAGCGCCACCGGAATGCTGGCGAACCTTCAACAAACTGCATATTTATTTCGATTGTAATTTTGCTTAGAATCGTCCCTTGTTTTTAACGCCTGCTGTGGTCCACAGGTTTGGGTCTCAAATATAGCGAAGTGAAACATCGTTCTCTAATGAAGAAAAATGAGCAAACGAAAGCAAATACACTTTTACAATGTTAATAAATATGCATACTATTCGGTACGACCCAAAGAACAGAAGTGTTTTATGTTATTTTCCGGCGAAGAGACGAAATGCACGTGCGTTTTCCAATTGGAATGCACAGGAGCACAGCAAAAGTAGGCTGGTTGCTCTCGGTTTCAATTTGCGTCACAGAAGTCGCACAAGTCGCATAGACACTAGCGCCAATTGAACCACTAGCGTACATTATAATAACTTTACGGCGTATAGTGTCCGCCAGCGAAAGCGTCTCTTTTGCAGCGCTCGGGAAGGCGGTAGAGTCGGGACTGATATCCGCATGTGGCGTTTGTCGAAAGTTATCAACTTTATGAATTAAACTAAAAGGATATATGTCCGATGGTCCAAACACCCAACGGTGCAGGATCAGCTTCAGCTGTGTTATCGTCTAGTCTCTAGAAACAGAGCACACAATCGTACAGAAGGATTACGTGTTTTGTGGCGAGAGGCCGGCAATTTCGCTTTACAGTCACGGCGCAAACAACGTAAGGTTGTTTACGACTCCACTTTGGGCCCAACCGGACCCAACCGAATGGTCGGGCTCCGTTTTTACGATGAAGATGTGGAACAGACCGGCGACACCGGCATACGTCGTCGCAGACAGGTGCTCCATCTGAGATTAAGATAACGATGCTAGCTTAAACGTATCGTAAAAAAGCGAACGAAGTCATGCCGGTGACGTACTGGCATTGGTGCTAGCACCGCATCGTCCTTCAAAGTAAATTCTTAAAGAAACGGGTTTCACTGGCTTGCCGACAGAACGACTGGGAGGCGAGTAATAAAATATATTGATATGGAATTTCCACGGTTATCATTTATGGAAGTGTTCTGTGTTATCACTCAGGTATAGTGTTATTTTCATTAACAATCGATGACCAGAGTTGTCCTTTAAAGTTATGTATCACCCATGTAAATCACTCGATTTTATGAGATACTTAATTTTTTGTAAACTTCGCGACCAGAAAAATTATTTCCCAAAACTGGTGTCGCAAGTACATCACCCTATTGTAAGGAATGTAAGTATAGTATATGACTCCAATTTCGCGAAATTTTGTGCCCGCGAAATATTCTCGAACGCAAGACTCCCCCAAAATCGCGATATGTTGAGCCCGGGAACAAAAAGTATATCGAGGCCGTAAACTTTTTGGCTTTCACCAAAACCGCCAAAGATATTCGTTGGTGTCTAAATACAAAATCATTTAAATCTAAACGCCTATGTAAACATTCGTAAATGTTAAAAAAAAAAAAACTCTATTAATACCGAAAAACAGTACGTTTCCGGACATTTTTGCTTCAACTAGAACCGCTTTTGTCCCCTCCCCTCTTACACTTCAACTCTTAATTTTTTATTGCTTCTTCGCCCAAAATTGCCGGTTTCAGCGCCCGTTCGACACAATTCATAAAAATATGCCAATATTAAAAAAAGACTTAAAAGCATCTGTTGACTTCATGTATAAATGGGCACTTAAATATCCACGACTTAATTTTATCATCTGTAGATGAAAGTTTTAAACCAGCCTACCGTGAATGGTTTCACAAGATCGAATCCAGATAGGGCGGAAAAGCTTTATGATAAAAATCACCCTGGCTGCGCACAAGATTAGGATACAAAACGAGATGAATACACAACAGTGTTCTTGTGCATCCTTAAAATATTTTATAAATGTTGGGAGACACGACGAGGTACCGACAACTTTTCAGTGTAAACTACACAAAATGAAGGGTGTTGAAATGTATTTTTGTGAACGTCTCCGGGTAGCAACGTGGCGAAGCAAATCTACTTTGCTACGTTGCTATGGACCTAATAAACATAATGAAATTGGCTTAAAGACAAAAAAATGTGATTTATTTGAAAAAACGGTTAAAGTGCAGGCGAGCTGGTGTAAGTTATACATGATGATTGAAAACCTGAGACTGTGGTTAAAGACCAAAAACGGGATTTATTTATTATCAAGATAAAGCTGAACTTCAAATTAATTCACTTTAACTGTCTATTACAATTTTAGTTTGGCATAGGCTGCACTTTGTAGTGTTTGAGAAATACTGGTCTTCTTTGAATAACAAGTTGTTTTGCGTTGAGCTTATTTCTAAAAATATTAAATAATATTTCTAAAAATATTAAATTTTATCAGTAAGTAGGTGTAAGGATTGTCACAACTTCATACCGCTCAGTACCATACTTAATTATGAAGACCCAAGAAAAGCATCGTCTTCGGCGAATACTTTATCATCACGTAGAGAACAGAAAAGCGATTAAGCTGCGGCTCTTAAAACTTTCAACGTTATTTTACATGCATATTCTTCTATAGGTTGTGTTTCCCTTTGAAGCAAAAACTAAGTGCTATAACCAACGGGTTAAAACCAACTTGAGCAAAGATTACAAAGCACGTATAATAACATGTTTTACATACCTGAAGACCTGTCGACGGAGAGAAATAGGATCACGAAAAAACCAGCTATGAAACGACACGACTTCATGCTACACCCGTGTTGCTCTCTTGGGAGGTGAAGGCGGATTTGGTTCAAACCAAAAACCTGCGCTTCTATATATTACATAAGCGTCCTTTCCCCCAGAAAGGGTTGCACGACCAAAGTGCAAATGCAATGTTCGCAAATGTTGTTAACATCTGCCCTGAACAAAGGCCCGTATCATATCTTCTACACAATGCAGCCGGTTTATCGTTGCATTCCGAGGATAAACGTTCGAGTGCTCTACTTTCAGCTGCAGGTGTAACCTTCGCGCGATAGGAAACACACGAAAACATTCCCCGCTACTCAACTCATTCACGCGTAACGAACTAGTTCGTTAAGGAACTCGTAGAGGTTGTATCTCAGGAATCAATAAAAATAAAGAGTAAGAGCGTAAACGAGATGGTGTAAATTGAAGACAATTACAAACCTCGCAATTCAGGAAAGACTGAGACATGCCTGTGCTGTTCTTCTCTAGCCTCAGTTTCGGGGTTCTTTGTAATTGTGTGAA